TAGCTTTTCAACCTTTTCGATGTTTCGACTCCCACATATCAACCTCTACGTTGGCCACGCTGGTTAACAAGATGACTGCAAGCAACCACGATCAAATGATCATACCAAACTGGCTGCTCCAATCATCCTTCACAACTCTCATATTTTGAAAAGGTTTCAACACCTTTAGCTAGTCGTTGAAGAGATTGAAGTCACTCCATCCCTTTATTCACTCATATAGTGAAAGGTATTTTGACACTTTTGATCGTTGAAGGTGTTAAAGTCATCGAAACTCTCTTAACTCATATGACTAATAAAGGAGTAAACAAGATTAAGATATTAACTTAGGATCAATAATCGCATTACCTAATTAGTAATCAAGAAGTAAAAGCCTGCCAAACTCAGACCTATTATGGTCAATATAAATAGTTACACAAATTGAAGTAAAATCATTGTTCATTTATCATTCACCTAGATTTTTGTGTCCATCCTTACTTGAACGTTGGAGTACTTTTACAGGTACCCCACCCATTAGAATTTTCATCCAATCAAGAACCTGAAGTCTAAGCTCATAGATTTACCCATGTACCCTTTAGACATGTAAAATTACTTTATATTATTTTATCAAAATTTAATTAAAAATATGTATCTAATATTTCTTTGGATGTTGCAATTAATTAATATTGCTTTAATTTATTTAAATAAACATATGCATTAATTTGAGCTTGTACACTAATTTATATATTTATTCTTGTTATTAAAATATAGAGATATAAAATAATATTTATTGGTCTTACAATAATTAATATTTGTCGAAGAATTTAATTTTCACTTTTAATAAAAAAAAATTCTTTCTAATTATTTTTTTAATTCATAGAACTTGTATTTGAAATTTTACTTAAGATATTTGAGTACAATTTCATAAATTCTCTCTTTCTATATAATTATGTTTTTCAATTCATAGAACTTATATTCGAACTTAGTACAACTTCATTATAGAGAATGTTGGTTACACATTAGCTTAAATAATCCAAGTATAATGTACTTGGACACGCATGTCATGCTTGTCATCACATTAACTTTTAAGCTTACAGCGAAAGGAGAGAGCCTTAAGATTAACTTATTTTAACCAAGTTATATATATATATATATATATCATTTTAATATCTTCAGAATTTATCCCATTAAGAATGAGTATCTATTATTTGGATTTCCGTTACATACGCACGTTTTTATATATAGCTTACGTCAATATCATAAAAACAAATGTAAAAGTAATATATTAAGCGATGACACTTAACCAATGCGAAGTAAAAAAAATAAAAAATAAAAATAAAAATAAAACAATACTGTAAGAGGAAAAAAAAAAAAAAAAAGAGTATCATTCAACTTTTACGGAGTATGTATCATTTCTAGTACTGAAAAGCTTTGATAAGAGAGAAATATACACAAAGTGAATGAATGATTAAATTTTTTTAACACTTAACCTCACTCTATGGGTTTCTCTTAATGAAAAATTCTTAGTATGGAAGAGGATTCACACTCTGCTGCCTTGTTTAGTAAAGAAAAAAAAAATAAGACGGAGAGAGTGAAAATAAGATGGTGAAAATGAGAGAGATTATTTAATTGAGAAGAAATATAGAAGAGAGAAATTAAAAGGTGTTGAATTTCATCCTCTCTCTATTTATTTATATATATATATATATATATATATATATATATATATATCTTATTTCTCATTATTTATTTTCAATCAAACAACTAAATTTTTACTTTATTTCTTATTTATTTCTTTTCACTTTTTTTTTTCATTTTATTTCTCACTTTATGTCTTCTCTACCAAACATAAACATAAACGTAAATTATCTAGACAATTTTAAATTTAGTATAAATAGATCATAGATTATAAATAAGTCATACTAATCCTTTTATAATACGATAAATGTATTAGAAACAATAATTAGTAAATATTAATTGGATTTATATTACGATTTAGAACATTAACATAACTAATATAAATTGCATTATTTCATAATTAAGGATATTTTATGCGAATTTAATTTGATTATATTAATTGTGGAAATATGTACTCTTGTATGTATTTTAGGATTCTATATAATCGAGCTCTTGATTAAAATAACACAGTTAATTAGAACTTTTTTTTTAAGTGGAGAAGATATTCTAACATTAGTGTAGAAAATATTTTTTTGATATGTTGTTTTCAAAATTTGATTTTATATAGAATAAATGTTGAATTAATATGTGATGTGATGCGATGATAAGGAGTTTCAAAAAAAAAAAAAAATTTAACCTTTGCGTCAGATTAGCATTGGCCAAAAAAGTTTGACACGAAAAACTAAGTGTAATTGATATGATTAACACTTAAAATAACTATAGTAAGAGGATACATTTATATATATATATATATATATATATATTTTGACGGATCCAGAAATTTTAGATAATGGAGATAATACTTATTTATATATTTGTAGTATTAAAAATTTTATATATATAATTTTTAAAAGTATAAATATATTATCATAATTATTTTTTATAATTTTTTATATTTATGATTACAAGTAAATATAAAAATAAATTAGATTAAATTAAATTTTATTATAATTTAATAGGTTTAAATTTAATTTTTTTTAAAAATATATATTTTAAGTATGATTTATTTATCTATCATAGACATTTTTTAAATTTTTGTTTAGAACTACAATCCTAAAAATTTACTTTATAATAATTCAACACTATTAAAAATATAAAATAAATATGTTAAATTTTATAAAAATCAAGTTTAATTTATTTATGATATAAACATGTTTTTAATATCTAATACATATTTTTAGATGATAATTTATTTTATATTTTATAATAACAATTCTAAATAGAACATAAATCTTTCAATATTTTTATTTTAATTTTTTTAATCAATATATACAATAAATAAAAAATACAAAAGGTAAACATGTATACTGCAAATTTTATTTATTAAAAAATGATTTTTTAATATATTACATTATATATGTGAGTTATCCCAACATATATATATATATATATATGATACAGAGAAAGTATTAAAGAAGTTTGTTGATTGTGTTGTTTTATGAAAAGATATGTGTCTTCATAAAAATATGTAATGAAGATAAATCATATTCTTTCACGAACGAATGTACGTTTTTGAAGGATTGTATCTCTCTTAATTACCAAAAAGAGATGATAAGATGAGCTACAATAATGAATGGTTATTACTCCTTAGGAAACATTGTTTCTCTTCACCACTAAATATAAAATAGTATCTATATAAAAACTAATATGCATGTAGAAAAAATAAAAGAACTTAACTGATTTCTTTTACGTCCAAATCACTTCCTTTTTCACCTTGTGCATGAAAAGGTCAAATTTTTTTATTTTTTATTTATAAACTATCATTGACAATAAGCTTGAGTGTGTGTATATAAGCCATATGCAAATATCGATCCCATTACTTCCTAAAAGGAATTCGCAATTACACTTAATTATTACTTCCATTAGAGACTTTGTTGCAAGCCATATCTTTTACCTTAAGAACACGATGGACTGAATAATATGCTTTGTTATGTGTTTTTTTGGGCAAACTACAATAATATTAATTAGGGCGAGCTTCACGCTGTGAAATCCACAAAAATTAGGGTTGACACATTATATTGTACCAAATGATATACTCCATTATTACTTGACTTTTTAACGAGTATTAATAATTTTGTTTGCTGTCGTGCAACCATTTGATAAAGAGGGTATTGACAAACACATGCACGCAAAAACACGAAGAAAAAAACTTTTGACAAAGAGATTGTGAATCAAAAGGACAGATTAAAAAAAAATAAGGCCATTGATTAGCCACGAATAGGCAATTGAGTGGGTAATCATGTGCGAAGTTCCATGGTGGGTAGGAGACATAGTCCTTCTCCAAAGTCCATGTCACATGATTTGTCGCACAATTTATATTTTTTTCCGATTATATTATGATTGGAAGCATGTCAAATTGGATTGAAGGTGGAATTTCTATAGACCACTTTTACAAGTGGTGCATGGTACACCATGAATTTTAACTATAAGATCTATTTAATCTAATAGCATATTATACACCTTGTCACACATGATTAAACTTTCCGAATTTTTTATTGAAGTTATTTTTTTTAAATTACCAAAAAAAAACACGTATTACGATGCACTGACGCAACTGCTATTGACGTTCGGAACAGGCCGTTTTGAAATCAGAATGGGCCGTTCCAGATGAAACAATAATACATGAATAATGGATCAGAACGAGCCGTTCTAGATGAAAAAAAAACACGTGAAGACTAGATCAGAACGGGCCGTTCCGAAATCAGAACGGCCCGTTTCAGATTCAAAAATAACATATGAATAGTTAAACCAGAACAGACCGTTCTGAATTCGAAACGGCCCAAGTAACATGTTGTTGTTACTGCATTTTTGGTGGGTCTAGGGTTCTCTTTACTTGGGTTTTACATGGATGACCATCTTTCTCATATTTTTGGTAGTATAAGAGTTTATATTGTTTGGTCTTGTATTATGGGCCTCAGTATAAGACTTTTTGGGTTTTAAGCTTATTAGGCCTAGTTTGGGCTTCATTCATAGGATGCTTGATGTCATTGAGGAAGGGGCTTCATATCTCACTCACGCTTAGCACCAAACTACCCGCACCTAATGTCATTGAGGCAAAAAGTCTCTTATGCTCTCGCATCTGGTATGAGAAAACTCACGCCCGACACTAATTAGGCAGAGGGCCTTTGTCTAAATTAGTTTAACGCCACATACATTAGCACCCAATGCAGGATTCACAACAAATTTCGTTTTAAGTCAAATCAAGTTATATTATCTGTAACTTATAGATTTGTTGTTTCACAGCATGATGAGAACAAATATTCTTCATTGGAATTGAGTGACGATGATGATGTACAATGCATGATAGAAGCTTTTATGAGTCAGAATGTGATGGCAATAATGGAATTACATGCTGAAATAGGTAACTTAGAATCTTCAACAATTTCGTTAGAAAATTTGTCAATTGAACGATCACCGGTGATGACAAGAGACGAAGATGAAGATGACGAAGATGATGAAGACTATCATGTTTCATTGTCATATGAAAGCATTGATGAATCAAATGAAGATGAAATCGATAATTGTGAAGCATCTGATAGTGACGTGGAGTCAGATGCTATTGTTCAAAGTCCAATGGTTGAACCAATTTCAATGTATCCATCTACTGAAGGTAACATTTGAAAATTAAATTTGTCAATAATTTGTGTTATTCGTTTAAAAAATTTTGTTTAAATTTACATTATTGAATTTAAAATATTTACTATGATTAAATTAGGTGGAAGTCAATTTTGGGGTAATTTACCTCACTACACTAATATCAATTGGAGTCATCCAGATGAAGAAGAAATCCCAGGGATGGATGTGGCTAATAATTGGTCTATTGGCCAAGATTTATATGTTGGATTGGAGTTTGAGAATAAAGATGCAGTAAAAAATGCAGTAAAGCAAAATGCAATGAGAATGCATCAGAGTTTTTATGTGGTTGAATCGAAAAAGACAAAGTGGGTTGTTAGATGTCCAAATGCACATGATGGATGTGGATGATACATGAGAGCTATTGAGTCAAAGAAATCTGACAAGTGGAAAGTGACTCAATGGGTGGACGTCATACATGTTTGAACATGTCTTTGTCACAAGATCATAATAAGTTAGATTCTGAGCTAATTGCATCATTTATACAAGGTAAGTTCTGCAACTGCAACTTATAATATTATATTAATAATAATTTATATCATTGATTTTGAATATTTAATATGTAGGAATGGTTAACCAAGATCCAGCAATCAAGATTAGCCTTATCCAAGAGAGAATAACATCTCAAACTAGGTTTAAGATATCTTATAGGAAGGCTTGGATGACTAAACAAAAAGCAATTATTAAAATATTTGGTGATCGGGAAGAATCTTATGCTTTTTTACCTCGGTGGCTTAAATACATGAAGGAAATTGCGCCAAGATCCTTTTATGATCTGTGTCATGATGAGTTTTTCGTTGGTAATCGTTGTGATCGTGGTTACCGTCAGTTTCACAGGTTATTTTGGACATTCAAGCCGTGTTGTGATGCATTTGATTATTGTAAACCCCTGATACAAGTTGATGACACTCATCTATATGGCAAGTATCGAGGCACATTGCTCATTGCCACAACACAGGATGGTAATAACAATGTTCTTCCTCTAGCATTTGTTGTGGTGGAAGGAGAAACATTAATCTGAAAAAAATAAGTGAGCACGGCCTTGGGATAGGGATAACGTGACCTTGGCATCGTTTTATATCAGGGGTGAGCACGGCCTGAGATTGTTAAATGGGTATCGTGACCTTGGTGAACATGTCAAGGGTGAACACGGCCCTAGGATAGGGATAACGTGACCTTGGCATCGTTTTATATCAGGGGTGAGCACGGCCTGAGATTGTTAAATGGGTAGCGTGACCTTGGAGAACATCCTAAACTTCATCTAACCACTCAACAAAATTAGTGCATTCAAAAGTGAAATTTGTTCATCCTTATTCTAGGCCTAGGATTAGGATTTTTATACTTGATTATTTTTTGATTCATGGACCTTGAGAATTTTGAAATTTGATAAGATAATATCGTATATTGACATTTATTAAAGATAAGATATGGTTCAAATTTTTCAAGATGGGTCTAAAGCCAACATCCTAAATTAGATTTCACCCTTTACTCCATATTAATACTTGTATAGATTTATCAAGTCGTAATATCGAGTTTAATCCAACTAAGATAATATCATATAGCTTATTTGACCTTTCTCATCTCATGTAGTTAGGTCAAATTATATCTAAGTTGGTACACAAAGTATATCTATTATGTACACCCTTGAGTAATATATATATATATATATACATATATATAT